TCCCGTGGAACCGTCAGTGGGGAAGGTGGGATACAGAATCTCAGGTGTGTTGTCATTCTGGTCCAGCACGAATATGCTCAGTGACACATTACTGCTGAGTGGTGGGTCCCCACTGTCACTTGCAGTCACTCTCAACTGAAGGTCACGGAACTGCTCATAGTCGAAGGAGTGCAATGCATATAGGATGCCGGTGTCAGAGTTGATGGAGATGTAGGAAGAGAGAGGTACCCCCTGGATGGTGCCTTCAGACAGTGAGTACGTGACACGGGCATTCTCATGGCTGTCAGGATCGTGTGCAGTCACAGAGAAGATGGAGGCGCCTCTGGGGTTGTTTTCAGGGATGTAGACAGAGTAGGAGGAGTGGAGGAAGGCAGGTGGGTTGTCATTGGTGTCTGCCACACTCATGGAGATGTGAATTTCCGTGGATAAGGGTGGTGTTCCACTATCTGTGGCTTTCAGTGTGATGTTATACACAGAGAATTTTTCCCGGTCTAGTTTTTTTGCTGTCACCAATCTATAATAATTGTCTATTGATCTTTCTAATTTAAAAGGTAGATTTTCTGAAATAGTGCAGGTCACCTGGCCATTCCTCCCAGAATCTCTGTCTTGAAGGTAGAAAAGAGCAACTACTGTTCCAGGAGGAGTGTCTTCAGGGATTGAGCTACTTACAGATGTTACAGTCACTTCTGGGGCATTGTCATTCACATCTAAAACTGTGATCAATACTTTAGCCCTTGTCGTACTACCAGGACCGTCCTGAGCTTGAACTTCCATTTCATAGTAGCCGGATTCTTCATAATCTAGGCCTTCTGCAGTTGACAATTCTCCTGTGTGGGAGTTCAGCTGGAATATCTGTAGAATTTTTGGAGTTATTTTCCTAAAAGAATATGTCACTTCCCCATTGACTCCCTCATCCAGGTCTATAGCGTTTACTGTGAGTAATTTTGTGCCCACTGGCACGTTCTCAGGGACAGTTACTTCATACTGGGGCAAAGAGAAGACTGGCGCATGATCATTTACGTCTACCACTGTTACTTGGACGCGGGCAGTTCCAGATCGTGGTGGGTCACCGCCGTCTGTGGCTGTGAGGAGGAGGTGGTGAGCTGCCACTTCCTCCCGGTCCAGCACCCGCTCCAGCACTAATTCCGGATATTTAGTTCCATCGTCTCCAGTTTGCACAACAAGAGAGAAGTGATGACTGGGGTTGAGATGGTAGCTCTGGAGGGAGTTTGTGCCCACATCCAGATCCCTAGCCTCTATTAAGGGAAACCGCACCCCAGGAGCCGTATTCTCCATTATTTTTACATTCATTTCTTCTGTCAAGAATGTAGGAGCGTTGTCATTAACATCCATTATTTCCACTTCTATAGGGTAAAGATTCATTTTATCTTCCATCAGGATGTTAAAGTTCACCAGACACTGCGCAGTCTGTGCACAGAGCTCCTCCCGGTCTATCCTGCCCGCAGTGACTAAGCTGCCGCTTCTCGGGCTCAGAGCAAAGAGCTGCGTCCTACCTCTGGAGACGATACGGACTCCGCGCTCCGTCAGCTCCTGGGGCTCCAGTCCCAGATCCTTGGCGATATTACCCACAAAAGAACCCGTGTCTGTCTCCTCCGGCACGGAGTAGAGAATATGTCCTGCAAAGACTTCCCTCTGGGTCCCCAGGAGGATGGAGAGAAGGATGAATCCTTTGTAATCTCCGCCCCTCTGCCGAGCCGCCATTCTTGCCCTGCTGATCTTTAGACACTGGACCAGCTCTTGTTGTGCTTCTGGATGCCGGTATATCTGCGTGGAGCGCTCTGTATTTGGAAAAGGAACCCAGAATCCAATACTATAGAGGCCCGAGCTTAGTGCAGCTTGGAACAGAGTTTGTCTCAATCTGGCGTTTCTTTGTGCTGTACAAGCTCAGCGGATCTTGGAACCACTTTTCCCCCGGTTGGTGAACAGCGGCGCTCAGAGTCCTTACTAAGCTACTGCACCATATTGAATCAAAATAATTAATTCTTCAGAAAGTTGTTTTATCCTTCAAAGTTCTCCCATTTATATTTCTTCAATTCATACATCTCTGACATTATTTAAAAATGAATTTTAATAAAGTGTGAATTAATGCAACAACATTCATGGATGGGTGTTTATTAATCCCAGATAATTTTAAAAAATTATCTGCTTTGCATTGCAACTTTGAAATGATTCTTAAGACATTGCCTCACACTTTATTGCACATAGATAAAAATCAGTTATTGCAGGTAAATAACAAGTATGATTTCTTTTTTCTTTTTTTAATTAATAGACTTAATTTTTTTTAGTGCGGTTTCAGGTTCATGGAAGAACTGATCAGAAAACACAGAGGTTCACACATAGCCCTCCCCACCCACACATATATACTCCCCTACCCTCCACATCGCTCATCAGTGAAGTTTGATTTATTTTTAAAAGATGTGTGTATACATAAGATGTTATGTAGAAGCTGTTTATATCAGCATATAATAAATTTAAATTACTTCAATAATATTGAACATATACTATGTTATAGACACCACAAGGTAAGGCGGAGAGTCAAAAATCTCTTTAATATATAGAAAGGTAATTTAACAAAGCTTTTTATTGAAAGGAACCTTAAAGATTGTTTAGTCCAATGCCTTCATTTGAATGATTTTTAAAATGAGAGAGAATTGCTTTAACCTTGACTATATAATAGTAGAATCGATGTAGGAATACAAACACCCTCACTCCCAGTCTTCTAAGAAGAAACCAGGGAATCATTATTTGCCTTCACTGATGCTCTATGCTCCAAAAGTGCCATTAGAAATGAAATGAGAAGCCAAGCAGCAGCAATCAGCTACAGAAGCAACTCATTTTGTACAGATGGCAGAAATTTGCAGAGATTCTACTGGCTGTGGATTCATAAGGAAATAGGTGTTGGCTTGATGGCATCTTTTCATTATGCAATTTGAATAATCATCCTACCCTATTCCAGAACAACTGAGAAAAGATAGGTCTCTAAACAGCCTTTGAGCATACATGCAGGACTGTCCTGAGAGGATCCTTAGAGGTACTCACTGCTCCACTGATTTTAATGAAGCAAAACTCAGTTGTTGATGGATCTGAGGTTACCTTCAGCTGGTAGAAAGAAAACAAAGTTCCTTCCACATAGCTGCAGAAGAGAGTGACCTGTTCTGAAATGAAGACCTGGCAAGAAATAGCCTTGCTTTGTAAATTGTTTTAAGCCCAGGGAGTAGCTAGCAGCACCAACAGGAAGAATTAGAAGTAACACTGAAAATGTTTAGCTTAGTTGGTGAGAAATTTCTAAGTAATCTATTTCTGCTCTCTGATGGCATTACTTCAAAACATAGGAAATACTTTGAATGAAATGCCATTTCAATCTATCAAAATAATTCATGTCATATATGCTTTCACCAAGTAGATAAAAGAACTTTTTTTGGTTCAAAGGAACCAATATGTGTATTGCAGATTAATTACATAAACAGGAATTTAAAACTATTTGTTTAGTAGCAACCTTGAATTTCTTGTTAATATAAGCAAAGTACATGGTCATTAAAGATCATAAGTATTTGCAGACATTTTCAAATAAAACTTTCATGTCCGTATATTATGGCTCCCAATGTCATGATTTTTTTTCTACCTTATATTTCATAGTGTCATCTCACATTTGTCTCTTATTCTACTGTTTTTAAAAAGTCTTAATTAACTTAGTACTTCTGGGTACCTTTGGAGTTAAATAAGTAAGATCTAGATAAAGGAGATAATCAAGTTTTCTAAGTTACTCTACAACACTAACGATCTCTACTAGACCAACAGATATGTTTAAATATAACACACAACTACTGTATAAAATTGAAATAATGTTGTACGTTTAAAGAGAGTATGTTATTACTGACTGAGTTATTAGGAAGAATCTTGACTTTGATTTGTTTACTTGTATAGAAAAAGTATATGGAAAGTCTATTAGACTTCCCATCAGTGAGTTATTTATCTTCTCTCCTTTCTGTGTGGAACCTTTTTTCTATCGAAGAACCACTTGTTTGGAGTTCTGTTTAGGTTTTCATTCCCAGGCAAAGATGTAGGTTTTTTCCCCAGTGATTCTCTCTGAGATTTACTCCTTGCCCTCTGACCCCCGACCCAAATGTTTGATCAGAATGGGTGGTTTTCACAGTTGATAAAATAGCCCCAATAATTTGGTAGATTTTTTCCCAGTGCTTTCAAATTAGTATATGCTCAAAATCTCAGACTGCCTGTCTTATTAACAATGATCTGTAGGGCATGTAAGTGAATGAGCCTCAGTCACAACTTAGCAAGTTCCGTGACTGCCAGAGTTAACACTTGGTCAGTCCACATGAATGAATGACTATTGTGAGAGTAGAATCTAACAGTTTTTCTGTCAGTAAAATATTTTATTTGTTTAAATGAAATGCTCACAGGTAACTCAGATAAGAGAATAAAATAAACCACCCTAGTATCCCAGTTAGTGAGCAGAAAAAGAAATAATATAAACCAATCTACCATCCATGAAAACCAGTTAATGAGTTTTGCTTTTAGCAATGGAGATACAAGATTAGTTTAAATCATCCAGTATGGGTGATATACTGAAATAACATTTATACTCTTAAGAGTGTATGAAACAAATCTTAATATTTGCATATGAGACCATCTAACTCCCACAACTAATACCCAAGATTCAAGTTCTTTAAAATATTTACTATTAAATTCTGATTAAACCATCAAAGAATTATATCACAAATGTCCAAACTAATTATATTCGAAATATGTATGATTGGAATCTCTTGGCTAGTCATATACATTTGGAATTTTGAAATAAATAATTCTAAAATAATTGCTGAAATGTAAATACCACAATATTGATTTAGGAAAAACATGCATTAATTACCATTAGCAGTTAACTTAAAGACATCTACTCAATATTATATTTGATTACCCATACTGACAAATTCAAATTACAAAGGAGGTTCTCATTCATTTTCAAGATATCTTCTGAATTGCCTATTTTACACATGCATACCAAATTTAGATGAACAAGTGGCAAGTCCATTGTATTACCAATAATAGAATCCTAAACTCAGGATTGGAAAATACTTTAGGTATCATGAAGTTCAACAACTCATCAAATTATATTATCTCCTTTATTCCATTAATCCCAGGGCCATCCACTTACTTTTGCAAAGCACCAGTAATACAATCTCCCAGCTCCTAGACAATCCATTTTCTGTTAGAACAACTTTAACAACTCAAAACTTTGTTTTTTTCCTACACATGAAGCCATAGGTTCATTCACATCTTTGGGCCATGATGAAATAGAGTAATCATTCTTTCAAATGACAACCCTCCTTTTGTTGAATATTTGAATAGAATTCCTACATGACAAAAGCTCTGTTTTATCTAGGTTAAATATATTAAGTTATTTAAATTCTTATTTGAATACTATTAATCCTTCATTCTCCCATTCACTAGTTCTCTATTTTTATAGATATATCTTGTAAGTGGACCCTAATTAGCATATTTAAAAATCCTATCAAACACAGAGATTGCAGAAAATACTGTAGTAGGCATATAGCATCAGGTGCTTACATATATTTATTAACAATCCAAAATTATAATGGTGATGTCAGCAAATACTTGCTCACTATACTGCTTTATACTCTGAAAAAAATTTTTAATGGAATTATTTTATTTTCCCAGAGTTTGTGTGAGGTAGATAAGACAAGTTGTTTTAACTTAAATTTAAATTGAAAACTATAGATATTGCGACTGGTCCAAAAAAATAGTTCCAGGAATATTACTGAAGCCTTCTAAAATCAAAGGTCAGTTGTTTCCTAGTACACACATCAGTTACTATTATCTTTTATAAAAATAATTTTTGATTCCTAAGTAGTAAAGAGGGAAAATATCTCCCCTAGATTCCATCATTTTAGAAAACACTTGCTTTAAGTTAACACTGGGAAAAAACCAAGATCTTGATTATTTTTTTTAACACAGGCTGTGATCCATTTTTTCACATTAGAAAAAGAAAGAATCTCTATGTCACATAATAGAGAAAAAAAAAACCTAAGAAGTGAGGTGTACATAGCCAAAGGCACAAAGAGCTTTGCTAAGAGAAGAAAAGCAAAGGAAATTCTGGGCATACCTTATTAAGATTTGTGTCTGTGTATTTGTGTGTGTGTGAGAGAGAGAGAAATTCGAGAAAACTAAGATTTAATAGAGTTCTACTGATGTAAAAGAAAAACCTTCCCCAAACTATATGATTCACTGAAAGACTAAGAAAACTAAGGACTGATCAAAGAGAAATTTAATTTTTCCTGTTCAAATAAAATAAATAAAAAGTAACAACCTCACCTGAACAAGGGAATCTTGCTCTTTATAAAAATCTGAATCTTCCTGAATCAAAAGAGGCTCGCTTTTCCCACAGCTCTCCTGGCTGATGAGCGTGTCCGCATAGTTGGGCTGAGGGAAGATCACGTGACTCTTCCGCGAGTCCGCGGTGAGCGACACCTCGTGGGAGTAGGTCTGCAGGAAAGCCCTCACCCCGTCCACGCCCAC